CTTTTAGGGTGATGCTCGAAGGTCCGTAGGAGGAGAATAACCAAGTGATAAGATCAGACCAAGCAACAAATGTGAGATGAGGCTGTCCTAGTCGGGAAAAAACTGTGTTCCATAATTGTGAACTATATTCATAATGGAGAAGCAAGTGGTCTCTGGTTTCCGCCACCAAGTTGCAGAAATTTCAAAATGTGTGAATACAACAAAATCTAGCCCTAACTGATAGACTATCCAAATGCGCAACCCTAAAGTGGTTGTGCATTTTGAAATGGTTGAACATCAACATTTTGAAATTCTTTAAAGATATTCAATTCCAATTATCCAATAGGAGGCTGTGAACCAAAATAATATATAAATATCCAATAGGTTACGTTGAAAATGCCAGTTTGAAATGTACCCAATAACAGCCCAAAAATAAACCACTATCCATCATCCATGCATGTGTCCATGATCCCCAAATAAAAAAAAATCATGTACAGTATAATGCACGTAGGTCCGTCTAGACTAGGGTTTATGTGTTAGATCATAATAGTACTATCTCGACTATTGGACACTTATGATTGTCGTTAGAATAAGGCGTTTTTTAGTAACTAAGGGATTTTATTAGATGGTTATAGACAGCTATTTTAATACAGTATATGATAACAAAATTTACATCCCTATACAAAAATGTAGAATTTTGTTATCAGTGACTGTACAAAAGGGTGAGAAAATGTAGAACCGATTTTTAATAGGTCGTTTAAAGAGATACGGTACCCAATAGCAGCCCAAAACTGAATGTTGGATCCATGACCCAAAAACTCATAAATATGTAAACATTTATATTCTTATCATCATCCCACAACACCTTATTTTAAAACTAGTATCTTTTTTGCTTAGAAGGTTGTATCTCATCTTAATTTCATGGTAACAATTAATGTTTAACTCATCCATTTTACTCTTACTTTTAGTAATTGAGCAAGAATATATAATTAAGTCTAGTCAATTTACTTCATAGTAAAATCACTTAATATATGTGGAAAAAACATACTATTTCACTTCCTTTTAGGTTAACATAATAACATAACACAAAGATTACGAAACCATATAAGACTTTTTCCAACTTCTTCTTCTAATAAGACCTATTAAGTTTGCTTTTAACCCAACTTATGAGGGATCATAGTTAAACGAAAATACCCTCAACACACACATTGTTGTTTCTAATAAACTATCTCATCATCCTCGTCCTTACATGTACGGAACATGTCTAAACGGCTATCTTCAAGACGATGCGAGTACACAAACTTCTTGTATTCGCTCCAAGTAAAGGTTTGATATACTCGTGGCTGATTCACCGTCTTAATCATCGGCGGAATAGGTCCAATCTTTGCTTGAAGCGGCGGTGCGGCGAAATACGCCGTCGAGAGCCGGCTTTCTTTGCCGGAAGCCATCACTCTATGCTTTACGCTTATAAATCTCCCGTTTGTCATCACCTTAAAGTAACCCAACGACCAATAAAAAAAATTCATCAACTAAAAGTGAAAAGAGAGTTACAATAAAAAATAAAAAATAAAGTTGTGATAAAAGAATAATTACCCATATATTTTTACAATTTTTGGTTTTTGTAAAGTTATAACCAAATCAAGCCATTTTCGGTTTGGTTTTGTGGTTCGATTAAAGTTATAAGGATGTAGTCGAAAATGAGTTGAAACAATCACTTAATTGATATTTATTTGTGTTTAGCAAAAAAAAAATTGATATTTATTTATATAATATGATTATATTTCTTCTAAATACTTGATTTTTTTTATTGCAACTTAAAATGTATGTATAGAAATCTTTATAAATTTCCGTTTGTATTGTTTTGGTATAGTTTGGGTTTGAATACATTAACATCGATATGGTTCGGATATGGTTTTAGTATTTAGG